AGAGATATAGGTGCACGTGAGTAGTCGAACTTTTATAAAAATCGAGTTTATAATTTTTCTTCCTTTATCTCTTAAATTTACACATTGCATTTAAATTTACAAGTTGTAAATCAACTTTTGCTTGTTGTTAAATGTTCTCTTGTATATTTACTTTAATTATCTATTGAATAAACTTGGTGTTTTAGTTGTCTCTTGCTCTTGAATTTATTATGACAGCATAAATTATAATTATTGAAAACATTTGATAATTGTTCATTTCATCACCAATTTAAAAGCACTTAATAGAGATTAAACATTATCTAAACTATTTTCATTAAGCATTTATCACTTGTTAAGTTATACTAATTGTCTGCATATTCTTGTAGTTGTCATTTTAAATTGAGATTATTCAGTTTTTGTTAAAAACCTAATTCACCTCCTTGGATTAGCTACTACTTATTTACGCCAACATAGATGAACTTTGAAATATATTGTACAAGTCATATCTTAAAAACCCAAAATTATATTTAAATTTTTTTTTTATCTTATATAGTTACACACTTGTATGACAAACCTGACATTCAATTTAAATTCAAATTTCATATAATATAAATAAAAAAATGTAATATAAGCATGATAGGAGTTCAAATTGAAACATAATTTTAATTTCAAGTTAATTTTATATCAAATTCAAATTATGTATATTATCACTTTATTGAAAAATCTCAAGGCATATTAATCATCGTACAATTAAAAATACAATCAAAATTGATTAAAGTATATATTAAATATGTAAATTTTATTTAAATTATACTTACTGGATAATTAATATTTAATAACTGAGTGAAAGCGAAAAGCTTTGTACTTTATCCATCCATCTTTGTGATTAATTAATTGAGACTTTTATTTATTTATTTATTACTTTTAACTTTATTATTATTAATTATCTTATCTCAAAACAGTCTTATTCCGTATTTTGTTTGATTAAAATTTATCTGTAGCTATGAATTCTAATAATAAGTTTATTATTATTAATTGTGACATAATTTGTATGAATCAATCACTTTATTATATCTTATTGGCACATGAACTCTTTCTGACAAAGGTTTCGATTTAATTTTTTGACATAACCTATGTATTGTATATAATTGGTTTTTTTTTATATGTAGTAAAAACCAATAGAAATTAATTAACTTGCAAAGAATGCATCCATGTTCCGGGATAGTCTTTCTCAAACGTGAAAATTCAAAACACTACATGCATGCAGCTTGAGCAAAATTATGAGCCACCATGTTACAATCCATACAGACCCAGTTCAATGTAACAATGCCATGCAATCTGCGATTATAAAAACCGTACTCTGTGCATCCATCACCACAACCTCCTTCCCCTGAATATTGGCCACTATGCTTTGTATATAATTGGTTTTAAAATCATAGAACTATTGATTATATTCATACATAATTGTTTATATTCGATTTTTCATTACTAAAAGTTCAAATATTTTATTGGAATGCATTAATTACTCCCAATAACAATTTTTCCTATCAAGAAGTTCAAAGAGAACTTATTCAGTTGGTTAAAATATCTCAAAGAGCTGAAAATATCTCCCTCCCTCTGCTGACAAAGAGCTTATTCAGTTGGTTCAATAGAAGAATGTTAGAACAACAATTGCCAGATCCATATTTCTCATCACACTATCCCCCCAAAAAAATAAAAAGCATATTTGCACAGGCAAGTTCAAATTACAAAAAGTCCATGATCCATAAAATAACCAGATATCCATTCAAACATGTAATCAATGTAAGCTAACAAAAATGCCAATTCCAAATTGGCCAAACACAAGTGTAGTCAACAAAACCTTCCAAATTAACCTATAACTACTACCAACTGTTAAATACCTCAACGTTTCCCTCACACACCACAAGTTTGGGACTTTTGGTGCAGCGCCCTTAGGAACATTCGCCTGCCTCTTATCTTTTGTTGCTTCGCCATCACTTCAGCTTCTTTGCCTTCTTTTCGTCCTTTGACTTCTTGATCCTTTCCTTAATTTCACTGCAATATAATTGTAAATCTACTGAGAACCATAACAAATATACAACACAATGGCAAGATTTATGCTTTGCAGGAAACTAAAGAAATGGCTAATTAAAAACTTAAACAAAATGTTCAAGAATAGCAACAAGAAAACTACTAAATGAATACACACCGGAGCGCAGCTTCCCTGGCAGCATCACGAACTTCCGGTTTTTCAGTTCTTCTCTTCTGGATAACTTCCAAGGTGGCACCCACAATGGACCTGGAGTATGGTTTCTTGGTGGTGCGTCTCCTCTTCTTCACAGCCTCTTGGGCAATGTCCTTTAACATAGTAAGGTAACCTATTCATGAGTTGTGGCTGATACTGGATACATTTATTTTATTCACTAAACTGAGACAGGAGCATTGTGCAGGTTGAAATTTTTAACATATCGGGAATAAGTCCACAAACATATTCAAGTAACTCATTAAAAAGATTTGACTAATCTAGTTTGCATATAGACAATCTGGCCCCTTAGAAAAGTTGAGGGGCTTATCATACATCATCTATCAGATTCTTCACTCAAAGAAACAAGATTAAATACAGAACCTATGGATCCACTAACTACCCCATCCAAAATTAAAACCAATCTCCAGTGAATCTTACCTTCTTGTGTTGCTTCCTGTACATGGCAGTCCAGGTAAGTTTTGATGGTTTAAGTCGGTTGTGGAAGTACCTCTTACATTTTGAGTTGGCAAACAGAAAAACCTAAAAAATACAGTGCAGATCTGTCATTATCATTGAAAACAACCGCATAACACCTAACTATTACCAATAAAGACATGATACCCATATGAAAAGAAAGCCATTTCCAATTAAAAGAAATGTTGGCCAGGGAAAATAGATAAATTCAAATTAAACTAGATGAAATTCACCTGAGAATCAGCACGTATAAATCTGATGCCTTTCCCGGGGTAAATCTTGGCTCCACTGAAACGGCAGAGTTCTGTCCTATAATACCAATAATTTGAAGTTTTAGAGTCAGAATCTCAACATGATCATTAAATACTTAGGTACAACATATTCACTGTTATATGAAAAAAATAAACTTTCTATACATGAAACCAATTATTTTCTCTACAATGAAAATAAACCAAACTAAGGTTAAATGTTTTTTATATGCATTGTCAGTCTTTCTCTGATGCTAATATAAGGAGCTTATCTGGATAACTTAAGCCTAAGTCCTGTCAGGTGTCCTGAGAAAACAAAGCATCTCAGGTTTTTGCTATTCATAACCGTAAGTGTTGAGTACCTACATTTTAGTTGCAAACAATAGAGACACATCAGACACAAGGAAATCGTTCCAATGCCACGAGCATTTTCATCATAACTAATCAAATGGAATTATCCACCGAAATATTGCCTTAAAAGAATTTAATCAAATTACAATTATTGAGGGCAATATCATGACTGGAATTCTGAAGCCTAAAGAATTTGGATGGTAAAGCCAAGCAGACCATCCTGTTATTTTATGTCTACTTCTGGAATCCAACAGTCCTTTTATTTATGTCTGTTTCCTGAGTCCAAAAGATGTGATGTTTGGGTATTAATTCTGAAGAAACCAACTGCACTCGGTCAAGGTAAACTTAAAGAGAATGTCCAGGGGA